AGCAGATAAAATCCTGCTGCATGTGATGAACGATCTGGTCAGTGACCTGCTGACTGGTATTAGGATTATGTTCTGTAGGGTTCTATTGTTCTTCACTGATGCGGTCTTTTTACCAACAAATGTAGAGGTAGCAAAACAAGAGATTACTCAGATTTATCATAAATATGCCTTAATCTCAGCAGAATACAAGAAGCAGCCTTGTATTGGTTCTGCTGTTCAGGTGGGAACTCTGCCTCTCTCTTTTTTCTCTGCTGTAGACCTTTGAAGTGCTGAATGAGGTCTGGTTGTACAAACAGGAACCCTGCTGTTTTCTTACCGTCTTGGCGATGTTCTGCGCCGCACGGATCTTCCTGAGTTTCAGGTAGCCGGGGTTTTTGGTCACGGCTTGGCCCAGCTGTTAAAGAAAACAAACACAGAGGATCAGTGTGTTCAGAGGAAAAACGCAGCAGAGAGGCCGACAGGAGGCGCATCTACGAGAGCAGAAACATGTTTCCCACAGAGGGGATGGTTCCTGCAGGCTGATGAACCGACGATCCTCAAAGAACAATTACTCCATCATCATCATCATCATCATCATCATCATCACCACCACAAGCTCTGAAAGACGGTTCATCTGCTTCAGCACAGTATGAAGTATGGGGGGAATTTATTTCCCTTAATGTTAAGAACAAAGAAAACATTTTAAATCTTTTCTATACAATAATAAAATACAAATTTTTTTTTTTGTTAAATTTTTTTAAATACATTTTTTCTAACTCTATTTAGTTTTCATTTCTTTAGTTTTGATATATTAATTAATTGAGGTATTTATTTTAAAAGTTGCAAATTGAATATTTTTCCTTTTTTAAAATTTCTGTAGATGAAGGTTCAATAAATTGCATTTTACAGATGATATTCTTCCCTCCTGAGGAGAGTACAGAGTTCTGCCAAAGGTCTCCTTCAAATATTCATACCATCTTATAGTTCAATCCAACAATAAGAGAAAATAAGAAACTTTATTTTATTCTGAATGGCTTTTGGTTAATAATCTAGTAAAAAAGATTCTCAATTTGCTTATTCAAGCCCCTGTCACATCTTGATGGTTTAGACCGGCGTAAGCCTGACCTACGGAAAATCTGGCTAAAACGCTGGCATAGGGTGGATAAGTTATGGGAACACGCTGGCACACGTCGACATACATCGTACATCGAGAAACTTTGATCATACTTCAAAGTTCCTAACGTAGCCAGCGTGTGTCATACGTGGGCCAGAAGTTCCAGGTCAGTTATCTGATGGTTGACGTACGTTAAGTGTCAGTTCCTCATCAGTCGTGGCGTCTAGCTTATCCTAAACCTCTGATTAAATCGTGCATAACTTCTGCGTAACTTATCAAAAACTTCTCTCCAACGCATATCAACGTATCGGACGTGTTCCAGACGAGCGCTGAACGCGTTTCTAACTTCCAGCTACTGTATATGAAATTAACCTGAAATGCTGCTTGTGCATCATTTATCATGAATGCTTATTATATATTTAAGCCCAAAGTCCTTTTCTACAGTGGAATAATACAGTTAGAGCTCGAGTTGCCATAAGAGGCAAATATAAGACCTTTACATTTTAGACGAGGTCAATACTGGGAAAAACTACATCAAAAAACACGACTGACTGGCCCGTGAGGGAACAGAGAGAAGCTACTGCTCCTGAAGCTAAAGGAGGACTGGAGGAGTTTTTCTTCTTCAGCTGCAGGCGTGCTTGAATAATTTAATCAGACCGAATGCCACGTGTTTACACCATCATGATCAGATCAATTCATTCAGTGTCCATGGAAGCAGAGATCTGTATATTATCCAATAAACCAAGATTTAGATCAGGGAAATATTAACATGGCGGTTTATGTTGTTTATCATCCAGACTTTTCTGACTCTGATTTCTGAACCATCAAGCCTGGTTGGTAGTTCAGCGCCCGTGTTGCTCCGCCCACATACGTCATGCTGAGCACTTGGCTGTCATGTTAATCACTGAGAGCTGTTCCACATCCACCGCTACTCCTCCGCACTTCAATGTCCACGAACATCTTCTTAGTGATAGTATCATGTACACAAGTTATTCTCTTGTTTGTATAGACACTTTTAAGAAACAACTAAAGACCCACTTTTTTAAACTCGTTTTTTAGTTTAATACTGTGTTTACTGTTTTTGTATGTTGTTTTAATTTATAGAAACTTTTTTATAAATTTGTGCAGCACTTTGTGACCCTGGTCTGTGAAAAGTGCTATAGAAATAAAGTTTACTTACTTACTTATTAGTTTACATGAAATAAGGAGCTGTAAGCACAGTTCCATGACTCATGTATGTATGTATGTACCGTATTTTCACGACTATAAGGCGCATATAAACGACGCGCCCTATAGTGAGGTGCGCCCTATGTGTTACTGCGGACGTTTGAGACCACCATGAGAAAGTTAAAGGGGGAAGTGTGGGCGTGGATTGTGTATAAAAGAACAGGTATGTGCTTTATGGAGAACTCATCATCTCCTCATTGAGGAGATGATGAAAGAGTGGCTGAGGGAGGTGAATGTAAGGAGACCAGGTGTTTTTTTCCAGCCATCACCATCGCTGTTAATCTGACTCCATGCGTGCCCATCTCACAGCCGATGTGAAAAACATGGTGAATCAAATGAACGCTGTGCTTGCTGTTATTTTGGGAGGTCTGACAAAGGAACTTCAAACGCTCGACATCGGTGTGAACCCGCCGTTCAAAGTAAGGCTGCGTTCACACCGGACACAGCAGACGCGGCAGAAGCAGCGAGTTTACATGCAAAGTCAATGATTGATGCGCGTCAAGGCACAGCAAACGGTCCCGCAGCGCGTTTTGAGCAGCTGAAGCAGACACATCGCTGATGACACAGAGCGCTGTGATCACTCCTCTTAAACAGTTTATTAACGCCTAAATTAACCTAAAATGCTGAAACCTGCCGACAGAATATGTTCGCTTTTATTATCCTGGTGCCTGCAGTTTGGATTATTTAGATGAAAACCACCTACCAGCCGCCGCGAGGAGGCGACCCAGCCAGAGGCTGCTGTTAAATTAAGTTTTCAGGTGGACTTTCTCACTTAAAAACATATTAAAACTACTTTATTCCCACTGATCACAGCAAATATAGCTGCAAGGCAAAGAAAGGATAGAGTAGCTCCGCCCAACGTGCGTCAGACACACTTTTACACTTTTACTTAAGTACACTTTGTA